CTTGAACTCGTCTAGGCAAGCTGAAACGGTAGCTACGACGGTGGTGATGCATCTGGATGGTGTAGCGGTACTGTGGTGGGGTCGTCCGCAGAAACCTTGCAGCTTCTGTGTCGCATCGTGCAGGACAGTTCCGGTGTTCTTTTTTCTTATTCCCCTCTTGCTGATCTAGGTTTAGACAGTCCTGCATGATCTGGACCTGAAGGGTTGAGGACCTGCCGCCGATCGATACGAAGGAAGCATGTATGAATGAATGGGTTCAGGGTTTAGGGTTCTCGAAGCAAGTCTGCTGCAGAACTGCAGCGTGGTGGACTGCAGCGTGGTCGACTCGGCACATGCCCACAAAACACGAAATCTACAGATGACGGAATGCTGACCCCCGGTTTCTTTCTGACCAGTGGGTGTGTTTGGTTTTGTTTTGTTGTTGTGTTTTTTTTATTGTTTTGTTGTTTGTTTTGTTTTGTTTTGTTTTTTTTTTCCGAATAGTGAAAGAGTGGAGGGAAACTACCCAGTCCACCTTCACTGCTGCAGACCACATGTTCCTGTTGAACTGATGTATCGGGGTCTCAAACACTTCTGAGCATGAGAAAGGAGACAGAAGAGGAAGATATGATGTACTAACCCCCCCCCCCATAAAAAACAAAAAACAAAAAACTTGTGCCAATCAAAGAGTAGTGATGATGAGTAAGCAATTGATGTCTCTAACAAAAAAGAATCTAATTTCATCAAAAGAAAAGAAAAGAGAGGGAAAACAAAACAAAACAAAACAAAAAAAAGGAAAAAAAAGTGTCTTAAGTTGAAGTTCGAAGAAGATTTTAAGTAAATTTGTAGGAATTTGTGAGCCTGGATTGATATTCTCCAAAAAGTATACTTTATTTTTACTTATTTTTCGGAATGGAATGAAAGAGAAATTAACAAGAAAACAATAAATAAATAAACTAATATTCAAGGATGATAAATAATTGTAGTAGATGTTTATCAAAATCAAGAACTTGGACATGTCCAAAACTTTTTGACATGCATGCTTATCTTAATGTAGTCTAAAGGTGATGAGAGTGGTGAGTACAAGTTAAAATACTTGGGTTTAAAACAACATATTCACTATTGATCTCAATTATTGGTTATTATTTAGGTTCAAACTTAACATCTTGTTTAAGTAAGAGATAGATCTTATCATGCATACTATTTTGTCTATTTTATTTTATTTATTTATTTATTTTCTATCTACCAAGATTTTTTAAATTAAGTACTCAAAAAAATGAATTTTTTCTTGATTATTGCAAGTAAAACTTAGGTGACATTACAGACGAGGAGTTCTGTTATTTAAATGTAAATGAGGATTTAAAAATAATGTTTACCTTTCGAACACATATCTAGAGGTTGTTCTACCAAAGTGCTAAGTACATTATATCCTCAAGTAAATATATGGGGAGTGTGTCATTTATTAATCATTTCTCTAAAAAACTCCTTTCTATCTATTAATTCAATTTATTTGATTCTTATTATATATATTTTGTAGATGTTCTCATATGTCTTGGTTATTGTATAATCAGTTTTGACTTGGTATATTTATTTATTTTGATTCCTCTTATTTTGCAAAAAATCTTTAATTATATTTTAGAAATAAGTTTTAGTTAAAAATTTACTATTATAAACTCTACCAGCTAAATAAATAATTTTAATATTACTAAAGCAAATTTGAAGTACAAATTCAGACCACACATACAATGTAAGAACTATTTGACTTAGTAAGATTTTAGTATTATACCATAAATCCTATGAAGAATTAAACAAAGGCCATTTCTTCAATCAATATTACACTTAATAACATCCTTTGCAATAAATATATTTGATACATTTTCAAGTTCTAGATGCTATAACAATTATTTATTGATACACATCTGTTATCACTACAAATGCTATTGATCTAGAGGATCTTGTTGAATAAAAGATTAGAAACCAATACAATAACAAAGCAAAAAAGTAATCTTCTAACATGTACAAAGAATAAAATCTACACCTCTTCAGATGGGTAATAGGTTTTAATTCAAATCTATTGGCATTTGTTTATATTTATAAAACATCCTTAAATTACAAAGTAATACATTTTAATACAAGTAAAAATATAGCTAAATAATATCTTTACTAAATATTCTGATTAAGTAAAAATGTTTTTTTTGTAATTAGATCCATTTATAAACTTGAAACATTTTAACAAAATAAAATGATCTACATAATTGTGATGAACTTTAAATTCCTGTATTACATTTTGAACATGTATTTCATTAAATTGTTACAAGTGTGTGTGTGTGAATATATACATATATATTCATATACATACATATATATTCCAGTAAACAAAAAAAAGAAAAGTAAGGGTGATTCTCAGTAAGAAAATGTTATTGCAGTTACAATAGATTCATCAATACTCATTTATATTTTTGAAAAATTAAAGAATTTATATATTTATTATACATTTTAGTTATTTTTTTAGATTTTTCCAAAAATAAAATTATATACAAATATATTCCTTTCTATTGGATCCAGACTTACAGAAGAAAGAAAAAATGGTTAAATAATTCAGAAATTCAATATTCACAGATTTAATGCTTACCTGTTTAATCCATGTTTCAAATTAAAATACTCTACATCAAGACTAATGAATCTTTACAATTAGATAAATAAAGATACTGAATTAAAATCAAACAACAATTAATGTAAAACAGCTTTACACACATTTCATTCTTATAAAAAAGTGAAGCATATCAATTCAAAACTATTGTTGGAAGTAATAAACATTGATCTATTATAACATCCAATAAACACAAATTTATTTGTTGAATTTATTTTCACATACAAAACACAAAAACTTCACAACTAAACTACATACAGTTGAAAGAAAGTAAAGATGTATGAAAAAACTCACAACAACAAGAGAATTTGGAAAAAAATAGAAACATGTATCTCTCCATATATATACTAAACAAATAACACAAAAAGCAAAAAGCAAAAAGATGTAAAATCATTTACAACAAACTTTGGAGAGTTGACTTTGATAACCAAGTCAACGTCACAAACCATCATGATTGTCCTCACCCAACATTGACTTCAGAATTCGGGTCAAGGGATGTATGGTAGGTGAGGTTGGTTTGGTATTATTCTCCACCACTAAACTCAGTTTTCTAAGCTCAGTCTTCTTATATGGAAAATTATTATTGTGTGATTTTATATATATATATATATATATATATATGCATATGCTTGATTTTCAAATATTTTGGCAGTGGAAAAGAATTTATAATGCCCAAAATGAAAAATCATTTATATATATATATATAGGAAAATGATAAAGCAATCCAAATTTTTACTAAATTGATCCACATGCCATGTTCTTCTATTCATAACAGTTCCCCCATTTATAGCCATTCTCATGTTCCCAACTGTTGTCCCTGTTCCCAGCTCCCTCTCTCCCCATTCCTAACAACAGTTGGGAATATGGAACAACTGGGAACATGGATGGGGGCTCCAAGGATATAATGATGCATAAGATAGAGTGGGTCTATTTAGTAAAAATTTGGATTGCTTTATCATTCCTCCATGTATATATATATATATATATATATATAATCATTTTCAAGTTTCATTTAGTTTATTATTTAGATTCCTCTTTTTGAGTTATTGATGTTTTTTTAATTGTATCCAAAAAAATAAAGAGTATGTGTATATTGTAAAAAAAATATTATATTTGTATGCATTTTTTTAAAGTTTTTATATTTGACATGTTTGAAAACAATAGTTGACATTTGAATTTTATTAGTTGATTGTTAGCCAGGAAAAGGTTGAATAGAGGCTGAAGTATTCCTCTCCTACTTGTTTACATTCCTTGAACTCAACATGTAAGCAAGAGGCATAGAAGCATATAAATAAATAGTTTCAATAAATGCTCATACATTTTATGAATTCTATTTGACATGGTAGAAAAAGGCGATTTGTTTTGTAGCAAACCCAACTTTGAATGAAGGTGGCAATGACTTCTGGGGTACTTCTATGACTTATTTAACAACACAATATGATTTCAACACTCTTTAACTACATTAGCCTTGGTTATGAGTCTACCTTCTCCTTTAGTTGCTTTGCCTATTGAAGAAAGTACATTAAAATTTTTTGGACCTATTAACAATTTTTAATAGAAGAAATACCAACACCAAACATTCATCTTCCTCGATGCTTAATTCTGGGTTTGATTCTTGTAGGCCCAATCACATCTACATGTCTCATTTTTTTCCCAACTTGTTGAGTTTTAGTGTAAAGAGACATTGCTACCAAGACGACGAAGAGGGAGAGCGGTGGCGATGTCGGTGAGAGAAACGGGAGGAATGCAGCGAAGAGATTCTATTGCGTGCGTGGGTCTGTCTGTGTTCGATCGAGCTTCTTCATTCGATCCCACTTGGAATGGGGCGTTGCCTCCAGCCCTTCCACAGCCTCAACTCCCAACTCTCTCTTTCGATTTTGATAGTGATAACACGATTTCAACCTCTTTCTATCTCACCCACCTTCGCCACTTGCACAAATGCGAGAATTTTGCAGTGGACAGATGGATGGCAAGCCCCATTCCATCATGACCCTTGTGTTGCGGCATTCTCTGCACCACACTTTTGGAAAAGTGTGCAGGATAGAACAGAGAGGGGCATTGTTTATACCGTTCAAGTGGAGGATTCTTTTGAAGATCTCATCTCGTTGCGCCGATTTCCAGGGAGAAGAACAATAAACAATTGTGAAGGAAAATGTGAACCTCCGATGAGAACCTTTTTGGGTTGTTTTTTCAACACGAGGTAAAAAGACCCTGTTCAAACCACATGTTGAGGCCGACTAATGGAGAGGTGTCGTGCTTTTTTGCTGCTGAAGGTAGTTGCCGCCTGACGGGATTTTTGTGGTGCGAAGAGGTGTGCATTCGGTTCACGTGAATCTTTTTTCATTAGTGCATTGCGAAAAGTTTAATCTGGGGACACCCCATTTCGATAATGACGAGATTTCCTGATTCTTCTCCAAGATCACCTCTCGTCCTGTTCATAACAAAAACATGGTAATTCGAGAATTACATTCTACGGCGTCGCTTGAAGCGTGGGAGAAGATACGCAGTGCGTAGCCAGCACAATAAATCCTGCTAGACGAAGTCAAAGTAGACGTTTATGGGCTTTTTAGGGTTAGCTTAGAATTGGGCTAATCTTGCTACAGGAACTCTTTGTCCGTTGGCATAAGAACACTGCAATGAAAAGCATCGGTTGAGAGTGTCGGCGGTGACGAGGATAAGATGGAGGTGTTGAAGAATTTTATACAATCCATGGTGCAATGACGAGCTTGTGACGATCACTGAAGACTTTTTTCACCACAAATTATGGGTTTCTGTCGCACCAGGACTTGTGGGGCCACCACATTTAATTTTTCCACACCGTACTGACTACATCTAACCTTCACCACACCCATAGAGCGAGAGAGTGTTAGAGAGAGAGAGACAATTACACACACACATACTAGATAGTGGATCGCGGTGAAATCCAGAATGTCTTTCAACTCAATAGCTGTGTAATCTGTGTATGCAGTGGGGTTTTAGTGGTGGTCATGTGCAGTGAAGAGAGGTGGCTTGCGGAGCTGGGTTAAGAACTTTCTTTTTGGGATGAGGCTGCCCTTTTGTGGGGGTTGAGGTTTTCCGAGGTATCCTGAAGTCGAGGAACACGTAGCTGCAAGGTAAGGGTAAGTGTTGCTGCTTTTGTAAGGATCGTCCTCTGCGAAACCCTGACCATCGTTGGCTGTTGTCACCATCTTGTATCTGCCCGGAGCTGAGGTGTTCATGTTTTAGCTCTAGAGAATCAAGATCTTGTAGTAAGCAGACAGAACTACTTTTGTTTATTTGGAAACTGCTCTCAGCTGACAAAACATTGTGGTCTTTGCCACTCTAGATATCTCCTCGTCTTCGTCAACACTGTATAAACCTCGCCGATCTCTGCGCGATCTACGTCCTTCAAGATGGATTCCTTCACGGATGATCTCAGCAGTCCTCTTCCGAAGCAGATGCATGCGAGTGCGCCCGAGATGATGGAGGGTGTGATCATGCGAAGGTCCTCGTTACCGACGAACGAGGCTTTTGATGCTGCAAAGAGGTCTGAGGTGGAAGGACGAAGCGTTATGCTTAGACCAATATCCGAGCGCTCGGGACGCATTACTTTGAAGCGGATCCCAGTGGTACCAGCCATGGCCAAGCAGGAACAAAATCCCTCAGCCGAGGATTTATGGGGCCATCTAAGTGATGACATACTGGAGTATACCCTCGCTAGACTACCTTTATTCTCTATCAAAACCTGCCGAAAGGTCTGCAAGCGCTGGGATGTGGTCATCAACACGCCACGGTTTGGCATTCTTCACAAGCAGCTTGGAGAACAACAGCCATGGCTTGTCTACTATGTAATCAACAACTTAGTTAGCAGCAAGTCGCACGCCATCACATATGACGAAGGATTGAACACATGGATCACGCTTCCACTGTTGCGAATCCCTTCCCACAATCATGGCTCTTTAGCAGGCGCGAGTGGATTGGTGTATGCCATAGCTGGCCTTGGTGAAGACAGGTTGAAGTACAAGCTCACGATCTCCACATCGTCGCCCTCGGCTTTCGTAGATGAGTGGTACGAGACTCCGCAGATGGAATTTCCAAGGGGTTCTCCTGTTGTGGGGGTTGCTCTTGGCACTGGAAAGACGGGCAGTGGTCATAAAGTGGTGGTGGCTGGAGGGACACCAGAGTTTGAGGACGAGCACATGGCTGTGGAGGTCTTTGATTCCGAGACTGGTAAGTGTATCACATTATCTTTCACAGCACCGTTTTGAAACAAGGACTGATTTTCACCGACTGCTGGTTTTCCTATAGTGAATAATCTCTGCAAAAACGGATATGAGCATTCACTTTTGCGTTCTATCCTTGAAGCTCCGCATGTCTCTTACGCTTCAACTCCTGGCTCCTCGGATTTTGCAACTTATGGCTACAACGGCAGGATATCAGTAGCTTTTTACTCATGGCAACTCTTCTGTTTGCAGATGCTTGGGAGACATACGACGACTTGCCTGAGGACTTCAATGGAAGCAGCTCAAGAAGTTGGATGTCTGGAGTTGTGTGCAGGAACAAGTTTTACGTGTCTTTGATCCACTCATGGACGATTCACGCCCTTGATTTGTGTACCAGAGAATGGGCTCCAATGCATTGGGAGTGTCCTCAAGGTTTGCAATACCACCACATTATGGCTATCGGCAAGACGGTCGTGGTGGTCGGGTTGTATCAAGATGCCGAGCACCCGGAAGAACACACGGTGGCGATTTGGAAAGTAAACTCCAAGACACAGCGTTTGATCCAAGTGGGGTCGATGCCATTAGAATTGTTCGCGCTTCTGGGAGACGGTTGCACAGACCCGACCCTAAATTTCCTCATGAGCGACAATTTGCTGTACATCTCCAACACATACAGCCCTGACAGAGCGGTGGTGGTGGGAGACATTTCTCTAGAGGATCACAAAACCTTCTGGCGTACACTACCTAGCATCTCAAACTTAGGGTGTAGATTCGACAAGGTGGTCACTTTCTGCTCCTCTATCAACACCGATCCCTCCTCTCCCGCACCGCACTGACTCCACCCACACAAATGTATAGCATCATCATATCGCAGGCTTGGCATTTTGGATATCAAGAGCTGCTATCCCCATGCCGATTTATACTAATGCATCGCAGACGAGCAATACCAGGACTTTTCCATCCGACTGATCATGAAGCTGGCGAGCGTGTGCGTGTCTGTTTTTCTCCCCCAAAAAAACGTTAGTAGACTCCCGAGATTCTGCCACATTTACCGAAACACTAAGTCTTCTCGCTACTTGCACACAATCAGTGCTGCTGCTGGTGCTCGCCGAGTTATTGATGATGCAACATTGGTGATACCTTGTATCCTAGACACAAACAGAGCTGTAAACTTCTAGCTGGCAACAAACTACCCATCTAAGCAAGGAGAGATTTTTACCAGCTTGTGGGGTGTTTTTTTCTTTTTTTGTCTTTTTTGCCACTGAGCGCTCTAGCTGTGTTTGTGGGCTTGCACGGAGAATTGCCATCCGAAAGCAGGTGCTGAGGTGGTTTTTTTGCAATATGAGATGATGAAGCTCTTGTTTCCACTATTCCACCACAATGCTGTATTGTGTGTGTTTTCTGCAACAGTTGGTGGTGGTGAATTGACTAGACGTTTGGATTGTGAGTGTTGACCATGTCTGAGATTTCACATCACATCCTTTGCAAATTAAGCAAGTAGTTGTTCAAGTAGCACTATCTTGTGTTTGATGTCGTTGGAAGTAAGGATTGTATGGAACAAGATATGTACAACTGAGGAGTAAAAACATTTACACTTGGTTATCTTCACAAAGGCAATTACTTTCTGAACAACCATGAAGGTATATGTTAATGTTGAAGTTATTTGGGGTTTCATTAGATCAATACAAATTAAAAAAATACTTACAACCGATAACAATAATATTTTTTTGACTGACTATCAAAAATGCTCTTGGAGGCACTTGGAGGATGTATCTAATTAACTAAAAGTTTTTGAACTTATAGTTTGATTTTAAAATAACATTATATTGTGTATAAAAAACAAATTAAAAGTATTTTTTATTTTATTGAAAAAAAAATCTTATAATTGTGATTTTAGTGAATTACCACCTACTTTAAAATACCAATCTTTTTAAATTTATACCAACTATTTTGTTTAGGGTTAAAATATATATATTGTATATATATATATTAAAAATTATAATAAAAACATTTAATGTAAGCCAAAGTGTTTAGTGTCAATAATATTGTATTGTTGTTTACTAATTTTGGTTACCTTATGGCATTGTTAATGTTTTTGTGGTCATTTCCAAACAAGTTTGCAAAATAGATACCTAATTTGCATTCATATCTTTTTACATTATTCACTCTTCATCTATGTGTGTCAATAGAAATAAATGATTGATAGTTGCCTTGGATTTTGTGGACATTTTAATGATAGACAATCAATTATTCCATTGTCTTAAAATATTAGCACGAGGAATTTTGAATCTAGAATGTAGAGTTTCAAAAAAATTCAGGATTTATTGAAAATGCTTTGGTACAGAAAATTAATTCAATTTTTATTCATCTAACACTATGCACTAGGTAGGTACCTATTCTTCCACAGCCATTTCTAAAATGGTCTTTGAATTTAAAATACTTGTTAACTAATTTTAATATCCATTAGTAAAAACCTCCAAAAGTACTACTTCACCAAGATATTCTACTATGTCACTAGTATATCAAATTTCAAGTCAATGTCTTTATTGTGATCCTAAAAAAATAAAAACGAAGTATATACATCCATATATGTACGTCTAACATAATGGTCAGCATAATGCTTAATTAAAATTTAATTGTCAAAAGAGATGAATTCATTGTCTATATAGTTAAATTTTTATTTGTTAAAAATAAAAATTATCATATTAAACTAAATAAAAGATGGTATTTATAATTTACATTAACCACAAAAGAATTATTTAGAATCTATGCTATTTAGGATCACAATTATTATTTTTCATTTTGACAATTTGCAAATTAACAACAATCTTTTTAATATACATTGTAAAGAATATTAATTTAATAAAAAGACCTATTATCTGTAATAATTATAAAAAGTGGATAGTTTTGTTGCACATTTGATGGACCATCTAAGTTATATAATTGTATAAATTTTAATAAATAATGAGATCAAAATATCCTTGTATAGTTAAACTATTGATATCTACAATCCAAGTTGTTGGTAAAAAAAAAAAAAAAAAAAAAAAAAAAACTTTATGTTTTACAAATCTCTTTTCAACCAAAAAGTAAGACATAAATGATATCAATGTAAAATTACTAATAATTAGTACTTAATTATTAATATTAACTTAAACTACTATTGCAATATATATATATATATATATATATATATATATATATTTTGTATAAAAGTAATAATGCCAAAGATCCAAACTAATTTTAAGTTAAAACAGCTACAATTGTATAATCTCATGCAAAAACCCCAAATAACTAAAAAAAAACTAAATAATACATATTTTAAGTTTTTTTTAATATATAAATAATTTGTATAAAATTTTAAACATAAATTTTCTTGTTTTATATAAAGTAAATAGATATCCACTATAAAAATCATTAATGTTTAGAAAGAATTTAATATTATTTTTAATACCATATTATTATATCTTCTAATATATTTATATTCATATTACTACACCTTGAAGTTTAAAGAAACTAAATAAAAAAAGTTTAAGAAATAAAATAACTCAAATTCTAAGAAGAATATTTTGGAGTGTAATAGTAATATTAGACTTCAATAGAAATTACTCATCTTAAGAATGAAAATGTAGATTTTGTAAAATTTAGGAATATACTCACTAATACATATTTTAAAATATATAGGATAATTATCTTAATTATTAAATCTAATCCCTTATTAATAAATAAAGTGAATAAGGTAATATTCAAGACCAATTGAGATATATAAAATTACACTTACATGTGATACATGCAATAATATAAGAGACTGTATATTTTATGTGAAGTTACAAAAATAATTCTTTTTATTACCATACTATAAATACTATTTTTTAATAAAAAAAATCACAAACTGAACTGATAATTAAAAATTACGAATTATACTCTTGATATTCTCTGTAAAATTGTTTAATTAAATAAATTTATACATATTAATATACATATATATATATATATATATATATATATATATTATATACCAAGCATTCTACATGAAAATCTATCAATTTAGGGCAGTTTCAGCTTTTACAACCTCAATGAATAAATAAAATTTTCATGGCATAACTAAAAGGGAATGTTAAATAGACCCATGATTTTACTAAATAGACCCACCCTTGATGAAGAATATGGTAATCATGATGAATGTGGTTGGGTTTCATTGGTTATAAATCCAATAGTGGAGAAATGAATCTAGATGTCATTTTTTTATTTTTGTTTTTTTGTTTTCATGATGATTAGGATGTGTGGGTTGCTATAGTAAAAAAATAGGGTCCATTTAACATTTCCCTAACTTAATGACTAAATAAATAAATCCGCCACACCCATATACACTTCCTCATACGATACGACCCGACCCGGGATCTGAAGGCCTATTACGGAAAGGGGGACCCGTCCCGCACCCGTGGAGAGAATCGCCTCGGGGGGGTTTTTGTTTGCGAGCCCAGTTTTGTCGCACCCTCTGTCGTGTCTGGACAACGGATTGCACGAGGCGAGGATTCGTGGTGCGGACTGGATCTGGGGCTCAGTTCGGGTCGGGCCACGTCAATCATGCAGGCTGATTTTTTCCAGTATTTGGAGATTTCCTCTTTCGAGTGCTGACCAGTGCGTGGTGTGACTATCCATAGCTATCGGGGGAAATCAATGTTCGAATGAGAGAAAGGAGATGAATTTTTTGATGAATCTCCCATCCACCGCTCACTGGGAGGCAGGTTTTGATGAAAATCCAGTAAAGTGAATGTGATCGAAGTGGAGCACCAATGGAGATTTGTGCAGAGATTTTTAACAATTTGCTTTTGAAGAATAAGTTTAATTGTGTTCGGCGGTTTTCTTCAACAGCTACCATAGCCATGAAAAAGGCAATTGGGAGTCACTGCCTATATTGTTACGCACAAAAAGTTTTGCGTGACCCATCACTCAATCGATACGGTAAGTGCAAATTGAAGTGCTGTGAACAGGAGTGGAATCACTATGACGCAGCACACAACGCTCATAGAATTTTGATAACATGTTTTGATTGATTTTTGTTTGAGTTCATCACACCCAAGACATCTGACCCCCTCCCAGGCCGAGACCGAGATTGCTGAGCACTGTACAACTAATTAACCCCTCTGGTGGACAAAATGGTGAGGCGAGGAAAGACGATAAGACTATCCCTTATTCTACTTTGTTCTTGTACCAAAGGACCCCATCCTGATTCTCTGATTCGACATACACACATTCTCGAAACTCTCGCCACAACGCCAGGGGCACAGGAGTTCTGTCCATCTGGTAGTATTTGCCCAAAATTGGCTTGATTGCCTCTGTTGCCTCGGAAGCATGATAATGCGGCATGGTGGAAAACAGATGATGTGCAACATGGGTGTCAGTAATGTGATGCATCACATGGTTCAGGATTCCGTAGTCCCTATCCATGGTGGCCAGCGCTCCTCGAAGCCAGTCCCACTCTCGGGAATCGTAATGCGGAAGAGCAGCATGTGTGTGTTGGAGGTAAGTGATGAGGACTAGGAAGCCGTTTACGATGAGGAGGGGTATGGCGTACATATTGATGAGGTAGGCCAGCCCGAAGGCGGAGTAGAGTTTGTAGAGAAGTCCTGCGACTGCGAGGAGGGAGATGTCACTGATGAAAACGAAGAAGCGCTCCCTGTCGACGAAGATGGGGCTGTGCGTGTTGAAGTGGGAGGCTGGGCGATCATATTTCCTCCCGGAGACATTCCAGATCAAGTACATCGGCCACCCCATAGTGAGCGTGACGATAATCTGGATCAATCTACCGGGAGGATGCTGCAGATACCTACCAATGCCCCCGAACTCCTCCTTCACCTTCGGCACGAAGACCTCGTCTTTCTCCACGCTCCCGGTGTTCGAATGGTGCCTGCGGTGGGAGTATTTCCACGAAAAGTATGGCACGAGGAGGAGCGAGTGGAAAATGAGCCCTACAGTGTCGTCCAGCCACTGGTAGTCGCTGAATGCGTGGTGACCACACTCGTGGGCGATGACCCAGACTCCAGTTGCAACGCACCCGGTGACAACCCAATAGGCGATCCAAACAGCCCAGTTCAGAAGTCCATCATAGACGAAGAACTTGGTGCAGTAGACGGCGATGCTGATAATGACGAGGTCAAAGATCAAATATGAGAATGATCTTGGGATCGACCTCTTAAAGCAGTGAGGAGGGATAGCCCTTTTCAAGTCACCGACCGTGAAGGGTGGTCTGCTGGATGGCGCTCTCTCCACTGGGCTGATCGCCTCCTCCACTCCAACTGCTCTGCCTCCTTTCCCCATTTTCCTGGTCTACAAGACTTTTGCACCTGGTTGACAACCACATTCGATCGTCGTCAGATAGAAAACGACGTACGTGCCTCCAGACATGGTTTAAAGGACAAACCAGGAGGAAGCTACCTCCAGACATGGAAGGTTCCCCGAAAAAATAGGAGTAATGGACACATTATACGTGCTCCCATTCAGCATGCAAAACTGATTATCTAAAGATCAGTTCTGACATGCAAACTTTGCCATTGCTGGCGTATTTCTTACACCTAACAAGCACGATTAGATTCTATGGTAGAACACGACAACTCTACGATAGACATCCTCATAAAACACTGATCAATGAGATCTAGTCTTTGAAACAGACAATTCAACTTGAGCGTGTTAATCATAGAAGGAAGGACAGGAAGACAAGCTGGTATACAATCGCATACAGGAGCTGCTCTCCATTTCAGTTTTGTAAACTACGACCACAACCGATGAGGATAACGAGCGCCGAGCGGGGACTGCTGGATGGGTGAGTGGGTGAGAAGGTGAAAGGGAGAGTCATGCGCCCTGTGCAGATGTTTTCGCAGATTGCACTGAATGGCCGCATCCAACAGTGCGCAATGTGGAAATGACTAGTACTCTTACAGTACGAAACAATAGGCACAAAAATAAGCGGGTGCAAACAGTACATAGACCAAATTGGCAATCTATTTGTTACATATGTGAATGTGACACTACCTAGAATGCGGGTTTGAATCAGTAAAAGCGTCAGGCTCAAGGCGACCGAACACTACTGGGTTCACAGGTCGTGCTGAACAGGAATGCACAACCATAAGGGCGCCGCAGGGCGTGGGTTATGTGGCGAGGATACGTCCTTTAAGTATTTCAACAATTGCATAAGCAACATAAGCATTTCAGCAAATCTTTTAGTAACTAGAACATGCCCCATGTAAGAGCACATGTACCATCATTCTCCCTGCCTCTCATACCTATCCTCAATCAATCACTTAGTTCAAGGCGAGCCAGTACAAACCTCGCCTGCTTCACAGTAGCAAGGATTTGGTCTCCACCAATGAGAGCGTGCGCTCTGCACCCGTCCTGGCGAGGACCAAACCTAAACTCCGCTGCTCGAGGTAGCCGTCAATGAGTTCCCTGCAATGATAAACACCCACTGAATCACCCAGATCCTTCTTCATCCTCTCTGCCTCGAGACCCAACCGACGCAACTTCAGCAACATCCTCAAAGCCAAACACAACATGCCACGAAATGGCATTCAGCTTCGCTATAATGAAGCGAAGACAGATACTTCCGAGGTTCAGGCAATACAAATGGTCCTCGACAATGACTCCACACCGCATTTTGTAAATTCGGTTCTCAGCCCCCGCTCTGACCTTCACACCGATCAATGATGCTTTTCCCTACATTACCACGCAAATGCATCTCGAACACCCGAAAAGGCCATTAACACTCCTCCGACCTACCTCTCTCCGTGTCTTGGGGACTGCTGGTGCTGCACAAACGCAGACTTGCCCAGACAAGAAGCACGGCGAAGAGCAAGAGAGCTGCGAAGAACCGGAGAATGGCAAATGATAGACGACGTCGATTGGTCTTGAATGGCCTTGATGGCATAGAACCACCCCCATGTAGGGCCAGATGAAAAAATGTTTCCTATGTTAAGAATCCTGTTCATTTAGAGGCATTCCCAATACTATCATTGAGTCAAATATGCACCAATGTAGGGGCCACACTTATACTCAAGTATAAATGACGCGACAACTACAGTCTGACAATATCTTTGAGCTACTTTCATCCGGGGTGTGCGATCTCACAGGATGGTTGATCCTTGCCTTCAATCGCAGGCGGAAATTCCAACGCTGTGAGTTCAGTTGTTGGTATATACCTCAGCTTCGCTTTTACACCTTTAGTATTTTTTATTTTGTTTCTTTCCATTATCGCACTTCCAGCTTCCAGTCACCTAATTCTCTTCGCCGTGTAACGGTTTTTCCCGTAGTAAGACCCCATCTTGAGCCTCCAAGTGGGACCCTCGGCTCGACGGCGAGCGAACACGGTCCGCATGATTTTTTCGTTCCACTGCAGAGCTGAACAGCAGCATACCAACCTCGTAATATTCACCAGGGAAAGTACAAGTGGGAGAACCCGGTATCGACTCACGGTTTTTTGGAATCATGGCTGCAGTGGCTCTGGCAGTGACATGCGCGAGTCACTTGCAAATGCTCCAAGCCAACGAGGTGAAAACCCATTGTCTCTCCCCCGACGACAACGTGAAACCCTACATCACGAAGACATCCAGCAACCACCACTCATTTGAGCCCACGACTATAAATAACCCACAGCCACATTCGATGGAGCGATGTGGACACTGTTGTCTTCGACCGATGCCGTGGAGGTCGGATTGTCGATCTGGCGAAAGCTCACTCGAGAAGACAACCCAGCAAAGCTCTACGCCGTCGAAATGTGATGGTCAGCAAGTTCCCCAACTCCGACTTCGAAACACCCCAGCAACAACAAAATAAATAAATAAATAAATAAGTACATGCAAAGCATCTCCTTGTAACAACAAAATGTTATTACCAATTACAAACAACCAATCGTTTTTAAGATGCTTTTATTATTTCTATTTTATATTATAACAAGAGGACAATTTACAACAATTTTAAGATGCTTCTATACGATATGTAAATTATACTTTACTTATGAATATGTATCAGAATTCCAAAGTCCAATATCAATATTTATGCAATAGACATTGTAAAGAAGTGTACAAATTGTTTTTATATTGCTTCTTTAGAATTTATATACAACTTCTACAAAATTGTGGCAGATGTCTAAATATAAAATATAAACTTGATTTACATTTCTTTGCTACTTAAAAAAAATTATCAATATATAAATATATATATATTTTTTAAAGCTTTATTTTCATCCATAAATCAAAATTACATTTGGAGGCAATTATAAGATAAGGTATGTTGATTTATACTTGTAAAAACAAATATTGATCAATATAGCAATAATTTCATATTTTAATTTAGATTTTAGTTTGTAATTAAAATTCTATTCAAATCTATTAGTTAGTATCTAGAAAAAAGTAATGAGTATATTGTCCTTACCTCTTTCCAAAAAGTTATATAGAAGTTATATATATCTTCTATAATAATAATATTTTAATATATGCCCAAGTTGATTTTTTAATTAGATTTAACTTGACAAAGCATGAGATCTTTGTACTTTACAATCTAAAAATAAAAAAACATTGCCCTACACACAATAAATTTTACTTGTAATTTGTTAAGTTTTCTTATTCAAATTTTCTTTTAATTTAAAGTTTTAACAATCTTTGCAAAACTTTTGAAATGAAAATTAGAAACTAATATTAAAATAAAAAAAGGAAAAAATATTATAATTAATTTAAATTCTAAATATATTACTTTAGTATCTATATATATGTATATATATTAGAATTTTAAGTTGATTGGTTATTTTTTATAATAAATCTCTTCTATATATATATATATATATATAATTTATTGTAAGTGATTAAGGCAATACTCAAATGCTTTTTTTAAAATTTTTTTTAAAATCCACTTTCTAAATATAAAAGAATAAAAATTAATTACTTTAAGATTGTCTATAAGAATAGAGCAAGCATTTACAAAAACAAATCAATATAATATTGGTCATAAATAATTAAATACTGGACATCTATAAAATTAAAATCAAAGTACTCATTCTTTAAATATAATTCAAACATTTTAATAAAAAAAAATTAAACTATACACATCCTATGTAATTTTTATTTTTATTTTTAAAAGACTACTACAATGGAATACTTAAAAATACATAGTGTGTATATGTATATTTTATATATATATATATATATATATATATATAATTTTAAGACTAAAGCTCTCATATTTAATCCAACAATATTAAAAAACTATAAGTATATATATATATATATATATACTTGAAATAGGCTAGACCACTAAATTTTAACTAAACAAGTTTATATAAGTTTATGTATGTAATAAAATGGTTGTAACATTGACCATAGTTTTATGTATTGAAGTCACAATTGATTATATTGAATTTTTCATATATTGATATATGAAGGTTGTAACTGCTTCAAATCAGACTATATTCTTAGAAAACAAAATAGATGCATATAATATGGATAGTAGTGGTAGTAAATCACTTGCAAATGTCATATAAAGTCACATACAAAAGTAATATTTGAAACTATAGAATAGAAATAGATTTATAGTTTAAGGCAAGAAGGTTGTGAATTATTATACAAAAAATATACATAATAAGCAAGTTAGAAATAGATCAGCAATTATATTAATATTATTTGAAAACCATATAATATATATATGTATATATATATTGAAAAACATATAATATATATATATATATATATATATATTGAAAAACATATAATATATATATATATATATATATATATGATAGTGATAAAAGATTTAAATAAGTGAGGTTAAGATTGATGATTTCAATAAATAAGATTAAAGAAAAATATAGAATTTTAGAGAGCACAAGACTAAATATTAGATTTTTGGAATAAAAATGCATATGTCATATATATTCTAGATTTGGTAGTTAATGATTATAATTTTTATAAAAAAAACAAATAGAACTTAATATGATTTTAACAAGATTATAGGAATAATAAATAAAAATAAGACTTTAATAGGTTGTATAGCGTATAAGGACTCTTGTTGCAAAATAATGTTAATCATAACTAAAAATAACAATAATAATAGCATTTTTAATCTGTCCTTTATAATTTTAGATTGAGATGTTTTATATATAAGTAAGTTAAATTCTAAATAAATAAATAAAATTTTATATAAATATATAAAAATATTAATGAGACATATTTATTTTTTATACAATAATAATAAGTGTAATTTTAGATAACTAATAAAAACTTATAATAATAAAAACAGATAGAATGCTTTTTTAAATGTAAGTATATTTTTATTAAATTATATATTATATTATCATAAACAATGTTTTTAGATCATGTTGTAAAAATCAGCATGTGTCAAAGACAAAAACTCGAAGAATGTAATTAGAACAACTATTGCAAAAAGACAAGAAAATTAAAGACTCTTAAAACTAAATTAGAAGTAAGAAAAGACTTGATAAGAATGAAGAAGGCTTCACTCTTACTTCTATATATACTGTCTAATTAAGAGCTATGAGGCAATGTTTTGTAGGATCTCTAATATGTGTCAAACTTGCAATACATGTGTCTAATTTGCAAAACAAGCTTTCTATATGTATGCCACATGTCCAACTTATTGGCCACGTTTTTAACTTGTCAATTAACTATACATATGTTTTAAGGCAAAACGGCATCTACATAGCTTCTAAGATGCTCTTTTTTAAGAGTTACCTTTATACATATCTTCAAATTTATTTGCTTTTACTTACTTTCACCTACTCATATTATTTAGATAATTTATAAAAAAAGAACATGGATGTCCATGATATCATGTTACATTTTTTAAAACTATACATATATGATTTAATATAAATTTATATAAAAAAGTATGTTAATTTTTTTATATTACAGTTTTGTAAATAATTTGGTTTTTAAAATATTAAAAAATATTTTTATTAAATGATTAATTTTTATTGATTTTTAATTTTAAAAAACTGATGTTAATTATAGAATAGCAATAAAATTATATGTAATTTTATAATAATTTTTTATAATGATTTTATAAATATAAGAATAAAAATTTGTGTTTTAATTTTATTTATATATATATATATATATATGTATATTTTAAATCAATTAGTTTAATCATGTTAAAATAATATAAATTTACACACATATCAATCGAAAATATTCTCAAGTCACATAAAAGCAATTTGATTACTCTCATTCCAAAAGCTTCAACCAAAACACGACTAAATTAAAAATTCTATCACACATTAGAAAAAAAAAAAAAAAAAAAAAAAAAAAACTTGAAAAATATAAAAAAATGAATTCAGTATTCCGAATATCATATGTGTACATGCAAGTGAAAGTAAGTCAAGCTTTATGGCATCTCGTTGTCATCAATTCAAGTTGGTGATGTAGGGTTATTGAATCTGCATTGGCATTGCACGAAAAACAAACAAACATTCTTACAATACAATACAATACAAGGCATCTTCCAATTGTGACTAGAACAACTGAACGAAAGGATCTCTCAAAGCATTGAAACCATAAACTACTATAGAAATCCCTGGGAGAATGACAAGCAATTCGCAGAGGTTTCGATTACAATAGACGTAGGGGAGCGACCTCGAGCCTTTGCTTCAGCTGTCCACGGCTTTACTCTTCAAAAAACACAAGGAAATCGGCATAATGTTAACAATAGCACAATGCACCGCATCTCAAAAAACTCAGAGGAAGAAGCAGAAGAAGGAGGCATAGAACGGCATTAATCACGGCAAGATTAAGCAAGAACAGGAATCCAATGGAGACAAAGGACGATGAGCTCGAACATGCAAATGAAGTGAAGCTCTGCTTCGTAGCCCTGCTCTACGAAGAAAATTCCTTCACATCAAACGAACGAATGTAATCCAAACACCATACATAATTTTCACAATTCATCTTTACATCATCTAAACCGAAGTGGTGGTTTTTTTAGTTTGAGCTTGAGCGTGCTGAATTCGATACGCCGTTTCGGAATTGAATGTTGCATCCTTGTTCGCGTAGGAATTTTTGCGGGCACTGCAAGCTCGACTTGGCGCCAAGTTTGTGCTTTAGTTTTCTAGTTAACTTTTTTAACCTATCGTTTTTTTTTTTTTTTTTTTTTTTTTTTTTTTTTTGTTTAATAAAGATTATGGGTGTGTTTCTTAGCAATAAACCAAGTTTTTTTGGGGGGGGGGGATTGGAGCTCGGGTTAGGTGAAGGTGTTTCGACTTCAGCTGTTGGGCCGTGCGCTTAGAATGTGGATATGGGGTGGAGGGGTTTTGAAATCTGCGTAGCTCCTGCAAAATGCCCTGCTGGATAAGAGCCTGTTGACGTTACAGATGGATCAGCGATGGCGGACATTCAAGTGCCGTTCTGCTCCATTGTTGCTCTGGACCCTAATTCGTTCTGGTATGGACGCTCTCTCTATCTCTTTTTCTGCTCCTCGCTTCGTATTTTTTGGGACTTCGGATTATGAATCGGCATCTGAAATGTGCGGACCTTACTTTTAGGCAATCAGTGCTGTGGTTATGAAGTGGGTTTCAATGCGTGAATTGGTTAATTCCTCATTTATCTACGTACAGCTCATTCTTTTGAACCTTGCAAAGAAATCCTGGGGTTGCTGTTATTCTCATGTTTGAAAGAACTTCCGTATGTGGCTATATTCCCTTGTTCAATATGCAATTAGCTAGATGAAGAAGTTATAGACATTTCTTTGTTCTGTGCGATCCTTACAGCGCGCTTTTTCGTTTCGTTTGTGACTGCGTCGAGCATTAATGAGATCAATGAAAAATTTGCCACAGAATTTAGTGGTGGTTGTTGTTGTTGGCAGTTACAGAGTATGCGGGTTCTGTGAACAAGTGTTGCCAGCTGAAAGCAGCAGCTACATTCAGAATGCTCACCCTTGCGAGAGATGCAGATATCGGCCACGAAGTCGGGATGCACCAACTACCAAGCACTTGTACAAAATACTGGTAAATCGAAGCGCTCAACTTCATGAAACATTTAAGGTTGACATGCTAATGGTCGGACTGGTTTGACAGTGTTTGGGTTTTCATTAACAGGCTATCTCACGAAGGGATTTTTTGGATCTTTCCCTGCTTTGGCGACAGACTTCTGATGATTATCTAGTATTAATGTAGAAATTTTGCATGCAGATGTCGATTTGTACCGACAAATCCGCCATGGTGGTAGTGGTATTCGATCGAGCAGCTAGGAACCTGTTCGGCTGCTCTGCTGATGAATTTCTCCGATTCTTCTCGCAGAACCCAACTGCAAGTAAGCCATGACTGTCTGCTTTCAGAACCAAATACCTTTATTACTGCTTATGAATAGTATATCCATTCAGTTGCATCGCAAACGTAGCATGTATGCACACCTAAGGAGTGACCATGTTGTTTAATCCTTTGATGCAGTGGAGATGGCAAGCGAGGTGTTAGAAGGCGAGATGCTGTCACTGGTGTTGCGACCTCCAAAAGGTGGGTATGGGCAGCAGTTGCGTGCTGTTTCGATTGTCCCACTGTCTAGCTCCTTCCAACCTGTCATGGCAATTTTGCCTCAACTCTATGCCTCTGGCCAGTTTCCTCTGTCATGACACCCTCTATGACTCCCACACATTACTCCTCCACAGCTTCTAAATTGCAGAAGTGTCCAGAGTAGAATCATGTGAACGTGATGCAGAAGTGAGGTAAACACAATCTCTGCATTGTCTACTATTCTTATGAGAACCACTGCTAGTTGCCCCAGCTCTAGTTGAATACATTGCCTACAGAAGGATGTCTTATTTTCTGCTTCAAGGTCCACCTATGCAAGGCATCATCCTGTAGTTTTAAATCTAAAAAAGGATGTCCTTGTGGCAGATTTTTTCTGATTCAATATTCACTTATGCAATGGTATGCCATGCAAGCACATAAATCAATAAGTTTTCTGATTGTGGGGACAGGTTGGATTGTGGGATAAGCTTAGTAAAGTTTGAAAAATGTAGGGTATCAATGGCAGTTTGTTTTGTGCACAGATTTGGTTGCAGACACACTTGGAAGCTTGAATCTTAAGAATGCCCATTATTGTGATTTTCCATTTTGAGATGACAAGCGTAGGATTGTGAGTGGGAAAATGGTTTGCAAAGTAGGATACTATTTTGACAGGTGAGAGGATTTTAATGACTTTATTGCTTGTATGGATTGTGATTTGTCAACGTTTTTGTGTTTTTATATTTGTGATTCGTCTTTTCTTTGGTTTGATATTTGCATGTGAATTTTTGTAAAGAAACTATTTGCAGTATTTATGTATATATTTTAAAAATTTAATCTTAATGCACAAAACATCTTATTATACAAAAATTATTAAGGTATATTTAAATTTTCTATTTTTATATACATATTTAACACTTAGAATTTTAGAATAATAATAATTCAGCGGGAGCGGGTGAAGAAAAAGGATGAAAAGTGTGCGAATGTTTTTGCTCTGCACCCTGTTTTAGGATTCTCTCTGAAATGAAGAGAGGTTCACACCACGACCTACCAATGAATGTAGAGACTGATAGAATTTCTTTGGCCTCATGACCTAAAGATATCAAAACCGGGTTGGCTTCTGAATCAAGCTTCAGTAGTTAAAAACAACAGTAACAACAGCAATACAAAAAAAATTACGGCACTCACCCACCCGGTGACGATTCATGTGTCCTCCTAGAGCCTGGGATTTGGGGAACTTCATGTCACAGAAGCTGCATTCAAATTTATTCTGAGAGTCCTCTTCCCTCTTCCTCCTCTTGTTTGGATTATCCTCGTCGCCATCTCCTTATGGTGGCAATATCAATGAGTCAATACTTTCCTCGTAAATCACAGTTACACTGAGAAGAAATCACCACCTTCAACAATCCACTGGACACGATCCACTGAAACACACAGCAGCACCAGCACAACACCTCCTTTTGATCGACGAAGATTAAACAGGAAATGCTGGCGAAGCTAGCAACTCCTCCCGCAGTAAGGGCTGGTGGTCCACAGCGTGAATCGATCACCTCCATGAAGAGCTGTATAATATATATTATATTCGATTAAGTTTACACTTATTTTTATGTATATATATATATATATATATATATATTTATACAATACCTAGTGATTGAATACATTGTATTGATTTTGTGATCAAAGTAAAGGATTTCAATACTTTGTAAACATAGGTTGAAGAATTATTTGTAAGATGTACATTAATGGTTTTGGAATATTTGATTAATTGTGGATGTAATTTCTTTCTTGTAGAAGCATTTGTGTTTGTGCTTGGTGGTTGAACTATGTGAAGAAATGAACATAGGTATAAGTGTGGGAAGGGTTTTGAATTGGTGTAGAAAGTCATACTTTTATTATCTTTAGATTTTATGGTTTTTTATATGTTTTTATGGCAAATTAGAATTTGCAAGAGTGGGGTGATGAATCAATGTGATAAATACTACTAGGTCAAGAAAATGAAGATATCATTTCTTTAATTAATAAATGTAGTACATGTAATTTTTAAGTTTAAATTTGAGATAAAAGAATATGTAGGAGTGTATGTGAAATTAAGTGAAATAGACAAATGAATCCCATTTATAATATAATTGATAGAATAGTAAAGTTGGAAAGAACATAAAGAGGTTATAAGTTATTTATATTAAAATTTGCAACAAGAACTTTTATTTTAGTTGGTTAGTTATACAAAAGATATAATTTGGTTGGATGTTTTTTGGATTTTGAGTTTGCTTTTTATTCAATCAAAAGAAGGTGAGTTTAGGATTTAAGATTTAGGTTTTAAAAAACTTTATATTATAATGTTACATTATTATTGTAAATTTTTGAAGTATTTTTGAATCTAATTGAATTATTATTTTAATTATATATTAAATTTTATAAGGTAGATTTTCTTAGATAGAAGTCATTTAAGGTTTAGAATTATGATTTAAGATTTTTAATTTTTATATTAAAATTTTAGATTAAAATTGTGTTATTAAAATACATAAAGAAATTAAGTGCTAATTTTAATATTAAATATAATTTTAAATATTAAACATATCTAATATATAATTTTTTAGAAATAATGAGAAGGTAAAATTAGAAATTATATTTATTAATATATCATGGAATATCTTTTGGAATTATTTAAGTAATATATGTTAATGATTTGAAGCTATTTACATTATTTTTTTGTATTATATTAGATCTTTAACCATGATAGAATAATTTGACAAAATATCAAATATGCAAGGTATTTGTAGAGATACTTAAGAAGGATTTAAAGTCTATATTAGAACATTTAAGATTTTATTGAAATAAATAACTTTTTGAATAAAAACCAAAATGCTAATTTGTATAAGAAAATTAAACATATTACAAAGGTTTTTGACTATTTAATGACTTGCACCAATGGTGGATAGAATTCTAGGCTTTTATTGTGTGAGTTTTTTTTTTTATATTCAATAAATATTATTTTATAGGAGAAAATTTTGAAAAATCAAATTGGTGTGAAGAAGCAATCTTCCAATTGAATAATAAAAAAATTTCAAAGCACTACTTTTAGATTTTAAATGTTACTATGATATAATAAGTAATATGCTTTTAAAATATTATTCCAATAAAGTTAAAGATAACTTGCAAGATATCACTAAATTTCTTCTTTATTAATATTTTAGTAGGGTGGCTAAGACATGTTATTAGTTGTCAAATTAAAGTCCTCTCTCTCTTTTTTTTATACCTTCCTATCCATATTTTATAGATTTATTATTATTCCTATAATAATGTCATGTGTAGCAATTAGTTTAACCTTAGTTGAGGGATGTGAAACCATTGAAGTACTTCTACAATTAACCAAGATGATAAAGTTGCTTTTACTTAGTCCTTATTTTCATCAAAATCCTTGTATTTGTCAAGGATTCTTACTTCTAAAATAAAGTTTCTAATTCAATATTCGAGTCTATTAGTAAAGTAAATCACTCTTCTTTTTTTGTATTAACACTCTATTTTCTTGTGCTTACAACCATTCATATTTCTATCCTAAATATAATAGCAACTCATAATTGACATTGTATACTTTATGTACAAGGCTTATCTAAAAAAATCTTTTTGGAATAAACATGTTTTAAATTTTTTAATATATAATAAAACATGTCAATTCAAATATCATCAATAGACATAATTTTTATTAGATATCACAAATAAATATATTCAAGAGTTACATGCTTAGATGCATTTTTTTTCTCATGCCTCATCTTTTCTTTGTAGTCAACATAATTTAATAAAGTTTTTAAAAACCTCATTCACTACCTCCCTTCACTCTTTCTTATTCTTTAGTCATGTACTATAATTTGTAGAATTTCATGGATATAGTGTTTCACGTGGTATAAGGACCTGTAAGAATATTGAAGAAAATCCTACTTCAAAAATTATAAATAATGTTCTTTTTTACTTACTCCACCTAATAAGCAAAAAAAAAAAAATTTATTCTCCTATTCTTATCTTACAACATCGACATTCTTACATAGATACTCTTGTTTTCAATTAAACACTCTTATAGCTCTTTGTTATTATAAGTCATTACAAAATACCTTGCTTGAAAAAAATCCTTATTGTTGGCAACTTCTGCAAAGAGTAAAAGAAGAAAATTTGTGCAAAATTTGATAGTACACCACTAATGGTACAAAAAAAATTGGCAGCTTAGATTAAAGATGAAGTAAGTCTAACAAAAGTATCCGCTCAAAGCAATGTTTTTGAGATTCTTAAGAGAAAAAATGAGTATGCTAATATGATTCCAACAAACTTAAAGATAAAGTGACAACATACAATGAGCCACTTGGAGGTGGACAATGCTTTGGCCAACTAAGTACTGCAATGTGAACATAAAGAAATCTACTTATTTGGTTCTTTTTTTTAAGCCAAGGCTATAAAATTTGCCGACTATCTTAACATTCATAAGGACAAATAACCAAAGTTTTTTAGATAATGATTTGAATCCTTTTAAGTTTTTTAAGTCTTTAAATCATTTTGTACACATAAAGAAACCACTTTAGCAAATATACATGCAATAGTAGACAACTTGTCAAACATCAACTATCAAATCAACAAATATAATTTTCATAATATTTACAATATGGGTAAAATAAGATAGTTTTATTCTATATTTCTAAATTGTACCATTGTCTCTCAACAAATTGAAGGAAGAGAAAAAGTCAATACTTAGTAGATTATGGCCTTGATAAGCAATACTGATGGTAGTGATGAGCAAGATTTTTTTATTTATTGGCAATGAAATCAAACCAAGATGTTTCAAAAAGAAAAGTAGTACTTAGCTTAGGTTCTACTATCACAATGACGAAGAAGTATGGATGTTTAGATTTTTTTTAATATAAAAATGATTTAAATATATGAACTCGAAATTAAAAGCTTTCAACTACATTATTCTTTTTATTTTAGATAATACACCTTTATTGTAATATAAAATTTTACAACATATAAAAACTATCTTAGGATAATAAAATACATTATTTTCTTGATATATATTTTATCTATTAAATAAAAAGTTAAGAAAAAAATTAGATTCTAAAAATAATTAATAAATTAAATAATAGATTAGAATAAAATTAATATAAAGTATTTTTAGTAAATTTTTAAATACATATGTAAATTTTAGTAATAAGAAGTATCATAGTTTTATTAAAAATAAAGGTTTAAAGAAGAAAAATATAATTTAGAGATAATTAATGAATAAAGTATCTATATAAGATAAAAATTTATATACATGTTTTTAATAGGTTTATAAGTGAATGTATAAATTTTGATTAAAAAATTCATAGATTATGAAAAATAGGAATTTAAAAAAAAAACCTAAAAGGAAAAAGATTATAGGAAAAAGATTTCAGGCTTTGGACACCATGTCATGGCAAAGAACTTATGATAGTGCAAAGGTGATAAGGTATTAGAGTAGCACTTAAGAGGTCCCATGTTCAAAATTCTATTATAGAAGAAAAAAAATGAAGAAACGGATATTCTTTAATAATCTTCAATTAATTTATTGAAAATATTTGGAAGATTGGTCTTGTAATCTTTGCATAAGGAAATTATGTTAGATAACTTGTCACTTAAGAGATGGAGCAAGGAATCTATTTTTTTTCTAGAATGATGTGTGATGCCTACACCTTCTATATATTTGTCTTTCTAATATATTGATATATATATATATATATATATATATATTTTAAAAAAGAAAGAGCCTTAAGTTAGTAGTAGCTAAAGTATAATAGCATCAATTTTTTGAAATCCTCCATCCACATTTTAAAAAATAAATAAAAACTTGTAAATAAACTAAAGATTTAAGGTTTTAGAGTTTGGAGATAGGACTTAAAGTTTAGGATTTAGAATTAGAGTAGGATTTAGGATTTAGGACTAAGAAAGAATTTAGGATTTAAAAAAAAATCAATCTCTTTTAGAGAAGGATATGAGGGGTTTCAAAGGAGGTTTTGTTTTCTTATATTTGCTTTATGTACTTATAGTACATGATTCATTAACTAATTCAAAGTCAAGGGAGTTTAGAAAGAACTTAGATTCAGAAGATATTATTTTTGAAAGTATATGAGAGAAGATAGAACAATGATTTGCAGCTAAAGGCCTAGTACTTTTTTAAAGCAAGATTCTCTCTCTACAATACCATCACACATATTCAAGAATGTTGCCTTACAAATATTAAAATTCTCTTCTTAGTTTCAAAGACCAGCTCAAAAATACAATTTATAGATGTTGAAATTATTGCTTGCTTCAAAAGTTGCATTAGAAGCTTTTATCTTCAACGTGCTATTAATTGTGAAGAAGATGATAAATCACACATTGATATCTACTAGGTGGACCAATTTTGAGGAATGACATAGGTTATGATAGCATAGAATTATATTTCTTCTATTATAATCTCTAATTGCTAAAAACACACAAATATCCTCTCACCTTGCAACCATAAAGACAACCAACCTCTTGTAGAAGATGTCCCATAAGATATGTCTTGCAATGGAAAAGAAACATTTGCTTTGAATGTTCCAAAGGAAGAATTTGTATTAGAAGTGCTTAGCCACCAAATATTTGCTCTTAAAGTGAAGAATTCTATGTCTACTAAGGCTTTATTAAATCAAGAAGGTGAGAAAGAGATCCATCATGAGTTCGTATATAATGAGCTTCTTGAATTAGATATTGTTATTTAGGAGAAAATGCTCAAAGAGAGAATAGAAATGAAAGCACATGGGCCTCAACTTAGCTTAGATGTCTAGTCTTTGATATTGAGAGGTGCTATCAAAATTGTGAAAGAGCATTTGAAAAATGGTCTAGGATTGGTTTCAAAAGCATTGAGAAAGATACAAAGTTAGGTCTATAAGGAAACAAATGTTGAGAAATAAGATTGTTTGGTTCAACAGTCTCTAGACAAATTCTTTTCTCCTTGTTGGCCTTAAGTTTTGTGACAAATCAATATAAAAAGTTTTTTTTTTTTTTTTTTTTTTTTTTTTGCAGAAATTAAAAAAATTAATAAATTTTGCACATGAGAAATTTAATTTTTCTTAATGTGTTTATCAAATATCAAGTATTGACTATTATTGGTTATTAATTACAGAATCAAGTTGGTAGACTGAGATTAAAGCGGCTATTGCAGCATATCAAATATAAGAGCATCAGATTTGACAAATTTGATTGTATATATTCATTCACAATTTCTTTTTGTCCCAATATAATATGAAATCATATTTTCCTATAGCAAAAAAATAAACTTAAGTTATTTATTGACTTTAGTTTCGTTCTTAAAGGCTTTAATATTCTTATATATTAAAAAATACAATTTTTTGGTATGTACACTTAATTATCTCATTAACTTATAAAAATATTATTATTATATAATGTGAAAATAAATTTTTTAATTCTTTTCAATTTCAATCTTAAAAGCAAGTTTCATTCATGTCAAATGAATATGTAAGAAGTATATATGTGTTTATAAAACTGCCCAAAGTAAATATATCAAAAACTACAAATGTTCGATCTTTTAAAATTGCAAGATGAAACATAAATTTTGAGATATCAACTCCTTGTATCAAATCCGAAAGAAAAACATGACTTATTTTATATTAATAATTTAACTTTGGAGACATGATGTTTCAGTGATTAAGAATTTAAACAATAATGTTACTTCTTTTCAACTAAACCATCAATACAAGTTAATATGAAACTACTCAATCAATGCATGATACATCTTAATGGTTTGGATTGGGACACATTCACAGTTCACAACTTTGAACCGACTGTGGCTAGACACAACACTCATGGCAAGCATACACAAAGGCAACAACTAGATAAGTCTGTAGCCATTCTGTAAGTGGCATCCTCCAAACAGCTCAACAATCCTGTATTCAATATCCTCGTTGGTAGCTATATGAGCATACAAGGGCTCATGTCTACATTCATCAGCACTTTGAAACTACACGAAATTATATTTGAAAAATTGGTCCCACCAAAGACTTGCCTTGGAGGCACAACACAACAGAAGATCAAAGTAAGGTGGACACTGGAACGATAAGTCCTTCTTACTTTGGTACGAGTAGTGTAACCAATTTGATTACCAGTTCTGCTTAAAATATAAAAGAAAAAAAACAAAAAAGCAGAGTGTCGCCCTAATACAGCCCACAACTTGCATATTGGACTCCTAGAAGACAGCAATACTAAATGTCAGGTAAAGGGTTCTGACGAGGTGCTGTAGGGACCAGATCCTTGGTAGCCTCTGCAAGAAACGCAGCTGCTGCTTCCGAAACCGATAGCTTTTTCTTGGTTTGTGAGTCTTCATTGGGATTTCTAACCCATGTCATACTCCTTTTACCCCCTCTGCTAATTTCGCGAACTTTCTGCTTTTGCTCTGCAACATTACCAGTAAACTCATTAACATGCATGTAAAGCATTAAGTAAAATATTGACCTCAAGATAAGTAAAAATTTCAATTCTCGTTCCAAGTAAATCAATGTAACTTTGACCCTTGAAGGTTCCTCCAATAAGACTAATCGGTTGAACATTTCTCTGACATTCAAACTCTCAAAAACCAACTGTTCATTTCTCTACATTAATGTCATTGTGGAGTTCATATTGGTGCAAAAAGACGTAAATAAGTTGACAGATTTAGGAACTTGATGACCAAATTGTGGCAATCTGCAGGATCGTTGCAAGCAAGAAGTAAAAACAGCATAAATTTATAAGAACTAACTCTATAAAGAGTTCCCCCAAATGGAATGATTACCTTCAGTCAAATCTGGAATTGCATGTTCGATGAATCTATTTGCCGCTGGAACATTAATGGCAGATGTGGGTCTAGATGGAGCTGTAAGACATACAAAGAAATTGTAAGACAAGAGGAGTGCATACCTGGGGAATGGGATACTGGAGAAGAAAAAATCAAATCAAATTAACTCAAATTAGTAGAAAAATACACATGAAAAAGTAGCCCCACAGAAACCAAATATGTCTAGGGTGCGTGAAAAGCATCGGAAATGTGTCAATCGACATTGAGCCTCAAGAAACAGAAAGAGGAGCATAAATCTACTGCAAGGGTTATACGCGACTCACCCATACTTCTGTCTATAGCAGCAGCAACTTTGTCATTATAGACGCTAACTCTTTCCTGCCACCATGACACAACATTGCTGGTGAGATGAATACTACAAACATTACACCACAAGATACAGCGCCGCCAAGAAGTCCAGATTGGAGTGATAAAACAGAAGAGGTATCGCACCAATTCAGATTTGACGCCGTGCTTCTCTGGATCCTGGCCGGTAGTTCTCAGATGCACTACATCATCGACACAGGCCTTTTTAATGTTATGTCTTACTCACAAGAATGCAGGATTGTAAACCTCGAACAGACATTTGTTTGAATCAAATTCAAACAAAAAAAACATCACCGATCAATTACGAAACATTCTAGAAACCATTGTGGCACACGTATTCAAAGGTAGTGCAAATTTAAAATTCAGCTTAACAATACGGCGAAACAAAGACTACTGCTCTCCAGAAATTCACACTGGAGAGAAGACTGATAATGTAATCAACTGAAAACCCTATGAACGAACACCAATCATAGCTCATTGTTTCTAAATGGGCAGTCTAAATAAAAGTCACGCCACTACATTAACACAACACCAGAGACACAAACTCTTCACACCCAAAAATCAATGTAAGATAAACTCAGTCTCATGAGCGTCGAACTGTGTCCAATTCAACACAAATGCACTTACAGCAAAAGAGTGCGTTGGCCGCTTTGGCGATGGCCAAGAAGTAAGAGGCGCGGTCAGCGGGAGAGAGTAACTGAATAGATTCTCGCGATTCCGGAGAAGTGAGCAGGCGGATATGCCTCTGCAGGTCCGATACAGCAATTTCAAGCTGCGAAACGTTCCGCTGCACGACGGCAGGGATTGCAAGGTCGGCCATAACCAGCTAAACCTCTGCAAAATCCTCTAAAACCTTTAAAACCTCGCAAACAAACCCAACTCACAAAAATTCCCCCATACCCTAAACCTCAAACCCTAATTCCTTGTGTGAAGAAATTCAGGAAGAATGTTCATCCGCTGCTTGAAGGTGGACTTGGCACCAATTTGAGATCAATTCAAAATTCACGTCACATAAAATGACCTTTACGGGTCCCAAGCTAGAAGATGCCGAAACACTAAGAGTTTGCTTAGAGATTTATGAAGGATCCACTATGGAGTCTGGATTCCCAACTCTGTTCCTGCAACCACAACTTCACCATGCCAGGGACAGAGCTTATCTTTCATGTCTCAAGTTAAGAATAAAACGTCAGGGAAACCGTGCTGCCAACCGCGCGCCACAACTTCTCTTTTCAGGAATGCCGTGTGCTCCTCTGACGATACTGCGAGGCAAACCGTGACCGCGGGGTTGCGCATGTTGAGTGCTGCAGGATTCATGAGGGGCGCGCCGAAGCATCATCTGGTGCGAAAGACGATTTTGGGATGCTTTCAAATCTCTCGCGCGCTCTCGAGGTTGGCTCATTGGGCCGATGGTTGTTTCTGATGTATGTGTGTTTCAATGACGTCTGGTGAATGGGATTGGTTAGGAATTTTCGGTGCTTGATGCGAAAGTGTTGTTGTTACGAAAACGTCTTGGGTGAGATTTCCTTCTGAGTGAACTCAAGATACAACTTCGCAATCGACATCCTCAATGCAGTAGTGCTTTGATTGTTGTGGGATATTTGGAGCGGCCTTAATAGAGTGGCTTCGAGTATAATCCCTCGAAGCAAATCCCTGATTATCTGTGTGCTGATTGTTGCTTTTTGTAGTGTTTTTTTTTAAAAAAAATAGTTGAAGGGTTCGAGGCACAATGCTGGTTCTGTACCTTGGCTGTTTTCAAATTTTCCTAAAACATTGGTGTTTAATGAGAGTGCTTGAAAGTTCAATGTTTGGCACAATTCAATGCATTCAACAATGCAAGCATTAGCTTCATTCCACATATCTGTTTTGGATGTGTTTTGGATGTGTTTAAGTTTAGTTCTAATGTGGTATTAGAGCAGGTTGCAATTTTTGGCACCATGGTATTGCAGCACTTATCACAACATCAACCTTAAGAAGTTAGAAACATCCACAAACACAAAGAGAATCAAATGACTATCATTGAAAGGTCATTTCTAGATCCTCAAATCAACAAGAGGAATACATAAAAGAAAACAATATGCCATGGCAATCCAGGAAGTTGTGTCACCAAACAAACTTGAATGTGCCAAATATTGAACTTTCAAGCACTTTCACAGGCTAAGAGTTGGCAATTCCAAAGTAAAGGAGAGAATTGTTCAAGCACCATGAACACTGGATCAACTTCATCAATGGCTAAATTACATAAGTTGGAAGGATCCATCAATTCTCTAATATAAAAGATAAAAATGCAAATATTTTTTATGAGAGACAAAACTTGATATGTTATTTTTTTCCTAAGTTACAACATTGAATGCCACAATAAAAATAGTCAAATTTATTGATATAATAAATACCACAATATTCCAACAACAACAATACAATAAATACAAAGCAATGTCCATATTAATAGTTTCCATAAAAGACAATATTATTTATTACATTACCAACATCAATAATCTGTCAAGAGCATAGCAAGTCTTGCATGATCTTTTTGATAACAAAAATGTAGTACAAAAAATGTTATTGTTCAACTAATTGCACTCATTACAATGGATAAAGAAAGTTTGGTTATAGACTACATCTAAAAAATCAATGAGCTAATGACACAATTAAGATCAATATGAAAAGAAGTAATAAAAATATGACTTATTTATATTGCCTTAAAAATCTATCCTAAGCCTATAAGAACTTTGTCCAAAGTCTCTTAGTTTTAGACAAACTTCATAGTTTTAAGTAGCATATTAAAAAGCTTCTAATTGAGGAATCATGATATTCAAGCAAAAGAATACAACATGACAAGGCACTCTTCATTTGTAAGAGATTAAAGTGCCCCATTGCAAGAAGGTACAACAAAAGAGATGTACAATAAAATTAATTAATATATAATTTATTAAATTAGAGGTATTTTTTAATAAGTCCAATTAAAAAATCAATTAAAAAAAATATTCCATGCAATAATTATAGATACTAGAATCACTAGGTACGTGAATGTATTGGCTTTTGTTGATAAAGAAGAAGAATAAACAATCTATAAGCAAATATGGCAATAATAGAAAAAAAATAAAATTAGAAGTACCACAAGAGAAAACAAACCAAAGTTCTTTGATGTGATAATACTTACTATAAATTTAGAAGGAGACAAGTCATGGTACCTTGATAATGGAGCTTCAATAGATATCACTATTAATAGCATGTATTTTCAAAGATTCAACTTTATATCTAAAATAACCAATATCAAGTCAATAGATAGCCACTTATATATTATAGCTAAAATGGGATCTATCATATTAAATTACAAAGGTGTAAATTGACAAATCACCTTCTTCATATATTACAAGTTAAGAAAAATTTATTGTCCATAATAATGATAGCAAATCAATGATGTGTCATAATTTTTTCTTCTAAAAAATAATAGATGATGAATGAAGAATCACCTTCAATTTTTGTGGCCAAGGATATTAGAGACCATAAATCAAAGCTCTACAAACTTGTAGCATTACAAGAGAGAGATCCAAAAAAATACATACTTAGAATTTTTAATATGCAACTCTAGTATTAAAGGCTTGAGCACATTGACTACAAATCTTTACATATATTATTATAATATACCATGACAAGAAGCATTCCATAGATTTCCATTAAAAGAGATTTTTTCCATAAGTATGCATTGAAAAAAACTTACAAAACAAAGCGTTCAAAAGCGAGCATCTCTAAGTTGACTAAAAAATATAAATTATTACATTCTAATTAATAGAGACCTTTTAAAACTACCTTGTTTAATAATTCTAAAAATTTCTTTATCATAATTAATGCATATAGCCGTTATCAAGGACACAAACTGAAAGAAGATACATAAACTTATGGAATCTATGTCAAAAAGAAAGTGACAAAATAGAAGAAAGCATGTATAGTCAAGGAAGAATTGGAATGGCTATTGCCAAAGACTAAAAAACATATGACTCTTGAAACTAGACTAAAAGCAAGAAAGGAGTTGACAAGAATGAAGAAGGCCTCACTTTTGCCTCTATATATACTATTTAACTAAGAACTATGTGGCGACATACTATAGGACCTCTAATATGCATCCAACTTACAAGACACATGTCTAATTTGTAAGGCAAGTTTCTTAGGTGTGTACTATATGTCCAACTTGTACTACAAGTGCTCAATATGTCGACACGTGGCCTCATTGTTGGCCAAGTTTTCAATCTATAAATCACGTATAGACATGTATAAAGGTAAAGTAGCGTCAATAATGCTTCTAAGAAGCTTTCTATAAGATATTATCATATTTATCTACTTTGACTTACTTCTACCTATTTTTATTATCTAGATAATTATTAAGATAAATATGTATATCTGTGACATTATCTCCCCTTCTAGAGACGAGTTCTACAAGGAGCAGTGATTACATGTTGATGAAGTTGAAGATGCACCAAACTATATTTGTTACGTACTTTGACCTTTGTTTGCTTTGAAGGTAGTTGATAGGTCTTTTTAACCATTGATAATGTCTCATACTAGGACAAGAAGACCACCTTGATATTTGATCATTGTTGAGGCCTTCATAACTTCCTTCAAATAAAACATTAGTAATACCATCAAGAGTGGTTCTTACTTCCAAAAGTATCACTAAATATCAAGAGTTCCTTTCAAGGTTGTGGTACCAAATGCATTGTATCTTGCCATCTATTTGAGGAAGAACATATTGTTTTTAAGAATCTTCATCTTGATTTTACCATCTAGAAGGTTGTAATAGTCGTAATGTCTTATTTGGTAGTTCAAAAAATAATAGCTCTTGAGTTGAATTTATTGATTGTTGATTCTCCATCTCCTAAGCACTAAAAAATCCAAAGAAACAATGATATAAGATAGAATGAAATCTCCATTGGACTTGCTTTGTTTTATAGGAAATTTTTTTTGACTCTTCACCTTAGTTTTGATGGATGTCGTTGATGAAAAGCTTTAACTTTCGCTGATGCATTTACTAGATTCCTATATGGCTCCCATGTACATTCATTAAAGTCATATATATGCCTATGTACTAGATCTTCTAACCTATTTTGGCATCGCCTTGAATCTAAGACTTCTTCTACATCAAATTTTTCATTATTGTCCACTTCTATAAGAGGTAGTGGCATTTGTCTCCTTTCTTGTATATTGATTGTTTTGTATGGCTCAAGTAAAGATACATGGAACACAAGATGGATTTTTATAGACTTCGGTAGGTGTAATCAATAAGCAACTAGATTAATCTATTCACAAATAGAAAATAGTCTAAGCCTACAATAATACAGCTTCTCACAAGGACAAATAGTTTTAATATTATGACGAAGTAACCATACCTTATCTCCTACATGGAATTGAAGTTGTTCCTTGCGATAGACATCTACATTGACTTTTTGTCATTCTTCAGCTTCTTTTAATTGTGCCTTCATTATTGTATGTAGCTTTGAAAATCAATTTGTCACATCTTTTGCAACAAGATTATCAACTTTTGAAAAGTCAAAAGTATCAAATCATAGATAATAACCATAATTAGCAAAGAAAGGTATTTGTTGAGTAGAAGAATGTATCAAATTATTGTAAGCAAACTCTGCCAATGGCAAAAGAGTTGTCCAATCATCTTGTTGATAGTTGATGGTACACCTCAAATACTACTGTAAAACTTGATTTATCCATTCTATTTGTCCATCAGTTTGAAGGTAGAAAGCCAAAGATAGTTTTATATCCACCTTCAATATCTTAAAAAGAGTTTTCAAAAATCTTCATAAAAATTATCTTTCTATGTTTGATATAATATCCCTTGATAATCCATGATAGCGATAGATGTTGTCAAAGAAGAGTTTAATTGTTCCTTCACCTCTGATAGATTTTATACATAGATAATATGTGCCATCTCAATAAAATAATCTATAATCACGAATATAGAATCATATGAACTTGAAATTAGAAGATTCATGATAAAATCCATACAAACAAAAGACCATGCTTCTTTTGATATAGGTAATGGTTGGAGGAGTCCATAAGATTGATGATGAGGAATTTTTGATCTTGAACAAATATCACATGTCTGCACAAATTCTTTAACAGCCTTCCACATTTGAGGCCACCAAAAATCTTTGAATATAAGCTCTAAAGTCTTATTATATCCAAAATTTCCTACTATAGGAAAATTGTGATGAGCTTCAAGAGCATGTAATTGTGCTTCTCTTTTTGGAATATATAAGTGTC